ACTTGCTAATAACTTCCTAAGAATTTACATAAATCTTTGATCTTTTGGGATGTAGACCAGGACGCTTGGAGGTTCAAGTTGAGATTAGCCTTCCAATTGAAAATGGCCGCTTGCAGATCCTTCAAATTCATACAAACAAGATGAAAGAGAATTCTTTTCTTGCTCCTGATGTTAAACTTCAAGAACTTGGTATGTCTATCACTGACGTCTGTCTGTGAATTTTACTTTCTTCAGTGCTTTGGAAGGACTAACCATTGAAGGGGGAATTTTGCTTGTTTAACCCCTCCTCCTGAGTTCCATTGTTAAGATCACATCAGCTTTGAGATGAATGCTTTTGTTTGCTTAAACTACTAGTCAGCTTTTGGATGAATAATTTTGTTTTCTTAATTTACTACTCCTAGACTCAATTTATTCTAGAATATCTTTGGTTGGACTGTTGGATTTCGATATTCATTCTTGAACAATTCTGTTAATTTAATATATCCAAGTGCCATGGAAGATTGAAAATTTAAGATGCCTGTCATACCAATATGTGTTATAACCCTACTTCCCAGAAGAATCGTGGAATTTTTAATAATTTCAAAATTTTATCTGATTTTGAAGTAAAATAATAATAATAATAATAATAGTAATTAGGTAAGATGCAAATGCCTCAAAAGCTAAGATGAATTATATTTGGATTGTTCTTCTGATGTCTATATAGATAAAAAGTGTATGAAACATTTCTCTTGTGGACAACTTCGACCGTTATTCATGATTCCTAAAAGCTCTTATGGGCTCTAATAATTTATTGTTCAGCTGCTCGTACAAAAAACTATAGTGGAGCGGAGCTTGAAGGTGTTGTGAAAAGTGCAGTATCATTTGCTTTGAATAGACAGCTAAGTATGGATGATCTTACAAAACCAGTAGATGAAGAGAGCATTAAGGTTACAATGAATGATTTTCTGAATGCACTCCATGAGGTTACTCCTGCATTTGGAGCTTCCACTGATGACCTTGAACGGTGCAGGTGATGTTTTCAGCCGAAATCAGTAAACTTCTTCAGTTCTTTTAATTACACTTATTTTTACCTTCTTTATATATATTTTGATTGATGTGTTACAGATTATATAAACATCTCTGAAACTTTTCTCCTAAAATATTACACAAAACAATTTGTAGACTTAATGGCATGGTGGACTGTGGTAATCGTCATAAACACATTTATCAAAGAGCCATGTTGCTAGCGGAACAAGTTAAAGTGAGTGAAGGAAGTCCTCTTGTCACTTGCCTACTAGAAGGACCGAGTGGCAGGTATGCATGACCACTTTTCTTCATT